GCACCATCATTACCATCATTACCATCATCAGCATCATCATCAGCATCCTCATCATCAGCATCATCATCGGCATCATCATCGTCAGCATATCCGTCCTCACAACCATCATGTCAATCATCATCATCGTCCGCGGCATCGTCATCATCAGCATCATCATCATCATCAACATCCTGATGAGCACCAGCCAGATCAGCATCAGCAGCATCAGCATCATCATCAATAGCATCATCATCATCATTATCATCATCATCATCACCATCATCATCAGCATCATCATTATCACTATGATCGTCCTCCTCATCCTCATTGTCATCATCATCATCATCCTCACCAGCATCTTCATCATGATCACCATCATCATCATCATCATCATCAGCATCATCATCACCAGCATGATAATCATCATCATAATCAGCATCGTCATCATCATAATCATCGTCGTCAGCGACATCGTCATCAGCATAAGTATCATTGTCATCGTCATGATCATCGTCATCAGCATAATCACCATCATCAGCATCAGCACCATCGTCATGATCGTCATTGTCATCATCGTCATCGACATCGTCATCATGAGCATCATCATCAGCACAATCATCATCAGCATCATCATTACCATCATCATCATCATCATCATCATCATCACCACTATCATCATCAACATCATCACCATCATCATCCTCATCATTATCATCATCATCATCATCATCAGCATCATCATCCTCACTACCATCATCATAATCATCATCATCGTCGGCGGCATCGTCATCATCATCATCATCCTCATCATCATCATCATCAGCATGGTCATGAGCACCAGCCAGATCAGCATCAAAAGCATCAGCATCATCATCATCGTCGACGTCATCATAATGATCATCATCATCAGCAGCATCATCAGTATCATCAGCATCAGCATTGTCGCTATCCCCACCAACTATGAGCATCAGAATGATCATCACCCGCATCCGCATCGCCATCATCCGCATAATCATCATCATCATCATCATCATCATCAGCATCATCATCAGCATCAGCATCAGCATCAGCATCATTATCATAAGCATCATCATAATCAGTATCATAATCATCATCTGCATTTTCATCGTAATCATCAGCATCAGCATCAGCATCGTCATCATCAGCACCATGATCCTCCTCCTCATCATCATCATCAGCATCATCATCATCATCAGCATCGTCATCAGTATCATCATCAACAACACCATCATCACCATCATCAGCATCATCATCAGCGGCATCGTTAATTGCGTCAGAATCAGCATCATCATCATCACCGTCATCAGCATAATCACCAGCATTAGCATCATCACAATCATCACCATGATCGTCCTCACCGTTATCGACATCCTCATCATCTTCATCAGAATCATAATCATCATCATAATCAGCATGATAATCCTCATCATCACCATCACCATCACCATCACCATCACCATCATCATCATCATCATCATCATCATCAGCATCATCATCAGCATCATCATCATCAGCAGCAGCAGCATCAGCATCATAATCATCAGCATCATCATCAGCCTCATCATCCGCACCATCATCATCATCATCATCTTCTTCATCAGCATCATCATCATCAGCAGCAGCAGCATCGTCACTATCATCATCATCATCATCATCGTCATCATCCTCCTCCTCCTCCTCCTCATCATCATCATCATCATCACAGCATCAGTCAGATTAGCATCAGCATCATCATCATCGTTATCATCAGAATCATCATCAGTTTCATCATCATCATCATCATCATCATCATCATCATCATCATCCTCATCATTGTCAATATTATCATTGTCATCATCATCCTCATCATCAACAGTATCAGCATCACCACCACCAGCATCATCACCATCATCATCAGCATCATCATCAGCCTCCTCCTCATCACAATCATCAACAATCACCAACAATCATCATTATCATCATCAGCACCATCCTCTTCCTCATCCTCATCCTCACTTCTGCTTCATCCGCATCCTCCTCATCCTCCCCCTCCTCAATGATTCTAGTCCCGCACGCCTCCCTTCCTCCCTCCCTCCATTCCTCCTCCCTTCCTCCTTTCCTCCTTCCTTCCTCCTCCCTTCCTCTTCCTCCTCCTCCGCCTCCTCCTACATCTCCACATCCTTCCCCTCCTCCCTCCATCCTCTCCTCATCCTCCTCCTCCTCCTGCACCTCCTCCACCGCCTCCTCCTCCTCGTCCTCCACCTCCTTTTCGTCCTCACTCCCTCCACCTCCACCTCCACCTCCTCCTCCTCCTCCTCCTCCTGCTCCTCGTCCTCCTACTCCTCCATTTCGTCCTCGTCCCTCTCCTCCTCCTTCTCTTCCTGCTCCTCCTCCTCCTCCTCCTCCTCCTCCTACTCCTCCTCCTTCTCCCTCTCCACCACCTCCTCTTTTCCGCGCGCGCGTGCAGGTAGAGCAGCAGGCGGGGGGCCCGCCGGCCCGCTGGCACCCTCCCCAGCGGGTCTTGATCCACGCCTGCGCCTTGGCGGACACCTCAACGGCGGCGGACACGTCGGCGGCGGCGGCGGCGGCGGCGGCGGCGGCGGAGACGACAACGACGACGACGACGAGGACGACGACGACGACGACGACGACGACGACGACGACGACGACGACGACGACGACGACGGCATCGACGGCGACGACGGTGGCGAATGCGATGACGAGGCCAACGACGACGGTGGCGAAAGCGATGACGAGGACCAGAACGCGGGGAAGAAGTGATGGAACGAGGGAGGGAGAGAGGAACGAAGCGAGAGGAGGGAAGTGGGCGAGAGGTGGGAGGAGGGGAGGAGCAGGACGAGGAAGAGGAAGAGGAGGGAGAAGAGGAGGACGGCGACGACTGCAAGGACGCGTGCAAGGAGGAGAAACACACGAAGGGCGTGATATGGAGGGGGGAGGAATGAGGGAAGAAGACAAAGAAGAGCTCCGCGCCCATGTTGACGACGGCGATCGCCACCGCAACATGGCGACGACGACGCCGAAGACAATGACGGCGACAACCATGGGGCGACGACGCGCCAACGACGACGACGACCACCACCACCGCGATGGAATAACGATGGTAACCGCGAAGACGGCGGCGGCAGAGGCGACGACCACAGTGACGGCCACATATGCCTGACCACGGCGACTACGACGGCGACGGCGACGGCGGCGGCGACGGCGTCGACGACAGCGGCGGCGATCAATGCCACGGCGCGCGGCGTCCCACCTGGCTTTGATTCAGGCCCGACGCCTGGACCCCCCCGAAGTTGTTGCCCTGGCCGGCGGGCGGGCCGTGCACGTTGTCACCGCCGCGGCAACGCGCAGGCGCGAGCGCGCGCACGGCCATGCGCACACATTCATTAAGATCTTGCTGGCGCTTGACGTTTGGGCGTTTGTCGGACGATCCGCAGAAATCTGTGAGAAACTAATGGCGTCTGGGAGAATTCGAAAAAATAAACACGAATCTGGAAGAAACTGAAACAATTCACAAGAATCTGGAAGAATCTGGATGACTCGATCATCACCACCATATTATCATCATCCCCCCTCCATCCCCCTCCTCACTCCTCCCTCCTTCTCTCCTCCTCCTCCCCTCCTCCTCCTCCTCCTCCTCTTCATCCTCCTCCTCCTCATTGCCTCTTCCCCCTCCTCCCCCTCTTCCTCCTCCTCCTCCTCCTCTCCTGCTCCTCCTCCTCCTCCTCCCTTTTCCTCCTCATATTACTCCTCCTCTCTCTACTCCTCCTCCTCCTCCTCCTCCTGCTCCTCCCTCCTCCTCCTTTTCCTCCTCATATTACTCCCCTCCTCCTCCTCCTCCTCCTCCTCTCCTCCGCCTCCTCCTCCTCCTCCTCCCTGCTCCTCCTCCTCCTCCTCCTCCTCCTCCCTCCTCCTCCTCCTCCTCCTCCGCCTCCTCCTATTTCTCCTATCCTCCTCCTCCACCTTCTCCTCCTCCTCCTTCCCTGATTCCTCTTGCTGTTCCTCCTCGCTCCTCCTCCTCTCCTCCTCCTCCTCCTCCTCCTCCTCCTCCCCCTCCTCCTCCTCCTCCTCCTCCCACTTTTCCTCCTCCTCCTCCTTATCATCATCATCCTCCTCGTCCTCATCAATCCTCCTCTTTTTCTCTCCTCCTCCTCCTCCTCCTCTCCGTCCTCCTCCTCATCATCCTCATCCTCCTCGTCCTCCTCCTCCTCCTCCTCTTCCTCCTCCTCCTCCTCCTCTTCCTCCTCCTCGTCCTCCTCCTCTTCCTCATCCTCCAAAACGGAGAATGACGAATCAGAAAGGTAAGATTAAGAATTCGCCGGCCCAACGGGCCAGAGGCGTGCTAAGATCTCCGGTAACTGGTTAACAATTTTCTAGTTCGCGCGCGCGGGGCGGCCCCTGGGGGTCCCCGGACGAAAAGTACCCCGACCAGGTCCCGGCCGGTCCCCGGCCGGGTCCCGGCCGGGTCCCGGCCGGGTCCCGGCCGGGCCCCCCCGAGCGCTCCATGAGCGCACCAACAGGGCTCCGAGACGTCCCCGAGAGCCCCAAGAAAGGCCAAGAGGCCCCCAAGAGGCCCCCAAGATGGTACACGAGGGGTCCGACATGCCACAAGATCGCTCCAAGACGCCCAAGATAGCCCCCAGACGCCCCAAGAGGCCTCCAAGAGCACTCCCAATAGGGCCCCCGGAGGCAAAAATCATTGTTTTTCCATAGGTTTTTGAGAGATTTTGGAGCTTCCACCTTTTCGGCTTCCCGACGCCCCAAGACGGCCCAAGAGGCCCCCAAGATCGCCCCAAGAGGGCCCAAGAGGCACCCAAGAGGGCCCCAAGATGGCCCAAGAGGGCTCGAAGACGGCCCAAGAAGCCTCCAAAACGGTCCAAGAGGGCCCCAAGAACGCCCCCAAAGGGGCCCCAGAGAGGGAACACGAAACAACATTTCGAGCCCTCGGCCCTAAGAAGCCCCTACGAGGCCCCTAAGAGGCCCCAAGAGGCCCCCACGGGGCCCTCAGGAGGCCCCCAAGAGTCCCCCAAATGCCCCCCCGAGCGCCCCAGGAGTCCCCCAAGCGGCCCCAGGAACCCCCAAAGCGCCGCATTGACACCGGGCCCTCGGGCAAACGGCAGACATGAGACTGTATGGGCCGGCGGAATGAGCGAAGCGATTAAATAAGAGTACTACTAAGAACACGAGTACTAAGAAGCACACTAAAAATAAGAAAACGGATTACAAAACAACAGAGAGACAAAACAGGCACATGCAAGAAACCTCGAAACAAATATGGAAACAAAGTGAACAGTATGAGGATATGAAAGTGAAAATGAATAAGGATGAGAAGAATAATGAATATACTTATAAGAATGATAATGGAACTATGGATACGAATACGATCGAACGTATGAATACGAATATGACTGGAGAGGAATAATGGAGCATGAAAATAGTAAGAGCAACAACAAGGACATAAACACTACGAACAACAGTTCGAAGGAAAAAATCCGACCACGCAGAGGGATACAAATAATAAAAACAAGGCCAAGACGAGTAATTACGATAAACATGAGTTCATCTCTAGGAAAGAAAGAAGAATACGAACACGAATAGTACGAGTATTAAGAATAAGACTATGAATGCGAACACACACACAAAAAAACACGAAGCCGAGTAAACATGAATAAACAAATAGGACTGGGAGCGGGTATCAGATTAAGAATTGGGAATATGCATAATAGAAATGAGCGTAGGGCTATATACATATATTTATATACATCTAAAGAATGAGAAACTGATTCCGACCCAGAATCAGATCCAAAGAATCCGACACAACGAACCAGACCCATAGAAGCAAATCCATAGCATCAGACCCACAGAATCACATCCTTATTTATTTATTTATCGGAGGTGAGGGGGTGAGATCGAAGTGGAACGGAGAGCCCCCCTACCGGGAAATCGATTTCGGTTTCGTGTTCGTGCGCGCCGTGCGTGCGGGCGAGGCGAAGCTGCGTGGGCGGGCGATGGAAAAGCTCCTGTGGCTGAGGCGCGGCCGGACCCAATGATTCCCTTCTGGGCGGCCGGGGCCCCGCGGTGTCCCGCCCGTGTCCCGCTGGTGTCCCGTGTGGCTGAGGCGCGGCCGGACCAAATGATTCCCTTCCGGGCGGCCGGGGCCCCGCGGTGTCCCGCCGGTGTCCCGTCGGTGTCCCGTCGGTGATGATGATGATGATGATGACGATGATGATGATGATGTTGATTGACAACGATGATGATGATGGTGATGATGATGGTGGTGATGATGGTGAGTTCGGAAATGAGACCGATAGTGAGACCGAATGTGAGATCGATTGTGAGATCGATTGAGATATCGATAGTGAGGTCGATAGTGAGACCCAATGTGATATCGATAGTGAGATCGATAAGGTGAGTTCGATAGTGAGATCGATAGTGAGACCGAATGTGAGATCGATTGTGGTATTGATTGTGATATCGATAGTGAGATCGATAGTGGGATCGAACGAGAGGTCGATCATGACTTCGGTAGTGAGTTCGATAGTGAGATCGATCGTCATATCGATTGTGAGATCGATTGTGAGATCGATTGTGATATCGATAGTGAGATCGATAGTGAGACCGAATGTGAGATCGATTGTGACATCGATTGTGAGATCGATCGAATGAGATCGATAGTGATATCGGTAGTGAGATCGATCGTGTGACCGAATGTGAGATCGATCGTGAGGTCGATAGCCAGATCGATTGTGAGATTGATCGAATGAGATCGATAATGACATCGATAGCAAGATCTATAGTGAGATCGATCGAGAGCGACGGTGGTCCCCCCCCCCCCCCCTCACCTCCTTATCACCCGAAGGGTGGTCTATGCTGTTTATATATATATGTATATATGCTAAAAGAGCTGTAATTGGACCCAGAGAATGATGAGCCACACCGAAGCAAACGGAATTGGATGTATCTAAATCAATTTTGACAAACTTATATATGTTCTAAAAAACCACGGCCTCAACAAAATTTCATTCAATTGGGAAACATTTGATACATGCCGAAAAATCCACTAGCGCTGAATGAATGTAGTCAGGTCCATGAGATGAGAGGCTATATAAAATCAGATGGATGTTCAAATCGAGTGTGATAAAATTAAACAATGGTTTAAACTCAGTTCAACAAAGCTAAAGAAATGCCCATAACTTTACGTAGATACGCTTGGGTCTAATCTTAAATATACATAAGTATATAAGCCACTTGCATAAAATGAGGGCGGTCTAAAATTCAAACACTTTGAGACATAGTCAAACACATGTGAAAACAGCTAGACCGGTAGATGCAGCTAGATATGAATAGGGCCATTGAAGTACACCTAAATAACTCCAATTAAAGTTAAACACTTGCAGACAATGAGAGGCACTTTATATATAATATATGTCGATAAAGTTTACATACGTGTAGATCTATGATAATACAAAGTTCGAAACAGTTAGTTGTAGTTAGATAGTTCTAATACTAATAAATTGATATAGGCGTATATTAAATTCCGAAAAAGTTAAACCAAGTTAATTAAATACATTCGGGGAAAAAAGTACCACATGCAGAAAATGAAAGCCATATCAAAATATAACAGCATTTGGTTACTGTATATAACGGTGAATAAAGTTTGTACGCGTGTATATATATATATATACACACAGACATCTTTACATGATTATGCAGTAAGTTCGGCCACTCGGACTTGATTCGGATCGGATCCAGAGAATCAGATCCGGAGAGTGATATAACGATTCGAATTTGAAATCAGATCCAATAACTCTCATCCCAAGAATGGGATCCAGACAATCAGGCCCAGAAAACCACATCCAGAGAATTTGATTCACAAAACCAGATCCATGTATGCGTATATGTATAACAAATAATTCCGGTTCGTTTACATAAAATATGAACACCGGAAGCGGGAATTCAGACCCCGACGTCCCCCCTCCTCCTCCTCCTCCTCCTCCTCCTCCTCCTCCTCCTCCTCCTCCTCCTCCATATATGCCTCCTCCTCGCCCTCCTCTTTTGCTTCTTCAGTTTCTTCTCATGTTTCCCATGCGTCTTCTTGTTAGATGTCTCTTCTTATCGTTAATAGTACGCTTCTTCGTATTATTGTGATTCCTCCTCCTCGTCCTCCTCGTCAACTTCCTCCTCCCCTTCCTCCTCCTCCACTTCCTCCTCCTCCTCCTCCTCCTCCTCCTCCGCCTCTGCCTCCGGCTCCTCCTCCTCCTCCTTTTCCTCCTCCTCCTCCTCCTTCTCCTCCTCGTCTTC